TGTGTGTGTGTGTGTGTGTGTGTGTGTGTGTGTGTGTGTGTGTGTGTGTGTGTGTGTGTGTGTGTGTGTGTGTGTGTGCATGTGTGTGTGTGTATATGTATATGTATGTATGTATATATATGTATATATATGTATGTATATATGTATATATATGTATATATATATGTATATATATGTATATATATGTATATATATATATGTATATATATATATGTATATATATGTATATATATATATGTATATATATGTATATATATATGTATATATATATGTATATATATGTTGTTGAAGTGAGCTGATATACAGAAATTCAAAACTATGTTTTCGTTTTTTATATAGATTTATTAATATCAAATTTATCTCGAATATACGTTTCTGTTTATGGCAACGATACATGTTTTGCTTTTAATAATATGACAGTTTTTGCATGAAATATATGTGAAGCCAAATTGATTAGACTGTACTCTGTAGACAAATATTTGAAACGCCAATATTTTATATTCTGACTGACTCGTGGACGCGTTAATGTTCTAATTTCGATACATTATTTTTTCATTAATTTCGATTTATTTTTATAAGTAAACGAGTTGACTCTTGAGTCTTGAATATATCTGGACATTTCAAGAATTAAAAGAAATCCAGTATTCCGCGTAAGGACACGGAAGCTTGTTGATATTTTGAGCACTATTCTGTGATTTTGAGTTTTTGACAGAATTATAAGGCATGCATGGCGGTAGGCGTTTATCCCTCGGAGGTCTCCTATATAAACGCCTGTTCGCACCCTAGATACAACAGCTCATGCTCTGACCATGACTACTACAGAATTATAAATCATGATGAAACCACACTGCTGTTACTCAGTTCCTGAACGAAGGTCATTTGCACATACCATCACAGTTGGTAATCAGCATAATTCAGTATGCAGAGTATGTCTTTACGTATCAAACCAGGCATTTGACCAAATAAACATTGGTGACAAGCTCAATACAAAGTTGGTTTTGGAAGTAGAAATTATTTTGGTCAAGAGAAGCTCGAGCAACTGCCTCCCCATCACCAACCTACATCCAACAACGAAATGTCAAGTGAAAAGACTACAGATCACATCTTGTCAAGTATGTGGCCAACTCATACCTAACCTTAAGGTTACGTGCATATGGCAAGGTGTATTCGAAGGCAGTGATAAACTTTGGAAAACCAAGTCACAGGCATCATCTGACCAAAACAATACTGTTTCGCTATTAATCAACTGTTAAATAAATTTAAATAAAGAAGTACTTTGGTTGGCAACTAAACTATGTTCAAGGATTTCTTCTCATGAACTGTGCATATTTGACGTGAACTTTTACATGTAAATTTTTTGAGAAATCTATATTGCTTTGTATGAACCTAATGTAATCTCCCTTGTATGCACCTGTTTTCATGAACAGAAATTAAACTTGACCTTTGGTCAACATTTTTTCATTAAAAATTTATTATGAAAAAATGTTGACCACAGGTTAAGTTGCTTACCATTTCATTTCCAGTTCATGTCTCCACATTTAATGTCTTGTTCCACAATCGTTTAAATAAGAACTTTTGTGACGTTTTTCCCGTAAATCTTAGAGATGTTTGTTTGCTCAAAATTAAAAATTTTATGTCCAAAAGTGATCAAAATAATTGATCAAAATAATCGTGGGTACACCAACGATAGTCGAGTTCCTGGAAAATACAAGGTGTTTGATGATACCATGAATCTCTTCGAAGTTTTCTGTGATTTTGATATACATTCAAGCACGACATGGACACTAGTGCAATCTTACCAACTCCAACATGCCTCTCAGTTCCGTAAGTCATTCAGTCAGGATAATCCGAGGAACCAAGACAATCCTCGCTGGGATTCTTATAGTCTTTCAAAATCTCGCATGGCATCAATCAACCGAGACTCAAGTAAATGGCGACAGACTTGTCAGTATGATACTCAAGGTGTAGTTTACACTGATTACATGGAAGGTAGCAATGGAAAAATTAATATTTTAACTTTCCAACATACATTCACAGGTGGTACAACTTGCTCTGGTGATAAAAATCAAGTCGACTACGTTGATGTTCGCGGGCATAACTGCACAAAATGTACAGCGCCTATTGTTCAGGCAACAAATAATCCTTTACATTTGGATACATATCGCTTCAGTTGTGAGTTCAAACCCACAGGAAGTTTAGGATGTAATGGTCGTGGTGAAGATAATTTTGGATTGTATGGGTGTGCAAATTCAGCTCATCGTTGTTCATCTTCCCCAACAGCAACTACTCAGACATGGCTTGGGGATCACTGACTCACGTACATGTTCACCACACCAAATACTCCAAAGGAAGTTGAAGAACATGTTTGGAGTGCAGTCTACTGTATAAATTATGGTATATGACCTCATACTTTCGTGAGGAACAATTTTAATGAATCTAGCTATATATACAATATAAAATTTAACGTTGGACGTTTTATATATATATAGACCGCCCGAAATTGCTGCTCCATATTCTAGCACGGATCTTATCTTTGTCAGATAGCATGTGAGGCCAACTTCTTGTGGTAATTTGGCTGTGCGGCATTCTCTTTGACTGAATATACGTTTATTTGCTTTCTTTACCATTTTCTCTACGTGACAGTTCCATTTTAGATTGTCCTGATACCATGCACGTTCCAAGTAACTTATATGAGCTAATTCTTTCTATATTCATAAAATCCATAACAAGCGGAGCTGGTTCTGGAATAGAATTACTAAAGCAAATCCACATATCTTTGGTTTTTTGGATGTTTATCTTCATCTTGTTCTCAGTGGTCCATTTTTGCGATGCGTCAAGAACGTCGAACAAGGCATATGACTTGTTGTCTCTTGTCCAACAACCTCATCTTGTGTACAATCGTCCTCGTATTTACAGGTGCTTATAGTAGATGATTTAGAACAGAATTTTCAAAGTCGTTTACATAGACATTAAAGAGCGGACTCCGGCAGGAAACGATTTAATCGATGATAAGGTTCCCATAAGGTTGACCTGTTGACTCCTGCCTTCCAAAAAACTTCGTGTCCAGAGCCAGAAACCTTTTTGTCACGTTCATTTTCGCAAATTTCTTTAACAAGATGCCGTGATCCACAAGGTCGAAAGCCTTGCGGAAGTCTATGAACAAGGCATGTACTCCATTCGTGTTATCACGTAAATTATCTGTCACACTAAACCAGTTCTGTGAGATGCAGGTTAATGCAGATACCGTTGAACGTTCACCAGTGAATGCATGTTGACTATCATTTATTTTCAGGTCAAATATTTTCGCCATTTGAGGAAGTATTGAGTTTTGACGAAAGTCAGTGTCGATGTATGTTGGGGGACGCACTTTAGGAACTGGAGTAACCAATGCAGCTTTATATACAGGGTGTATCAAAATAAACGCAATTCATCTTTTGTGCTTAATAACTTTCGAAATACTATTTCTAGTTAAACACTTTTAGGCTTACTTCAAAGCCTGTTCTTTTCTCTTTCAAACAAACTATTATCCTTGTCTCCAATGCTAGTAATGATTGCACAGGAAAAGGTTTAGTAAAACCTATCATTTTTAGTTGCTGTTTAATTATGCAAGTTTACTATGTTATTGTTTAGTCGGTTTAAATGTTAGAATTTTCTTCTTTAAACTTTAATGTTGTCGTCACTACATCTGGAAAACCACGTATAAGAACAAATTAAAAGTATTTTAAAAGAGACCAGGTTGTTTGAACATCCTAAACGAATGCTAAAAATCGTCAAAACATTCTGGTGTCTGAGCCAGAGTGTTATTGAATTGCGATGTAATGTAAACAGAAATTATAGCAAGTTGATGTCAGTCAGCTTAGATGGTCCAAGCCAAAATTATATCGCATTTGAAGTTTCAAACTGAGTTAAAAATAGTGGAAGAAAAGCCGTAATTATACTTATTGTTACAATCCATTTAATAAAATGCAACATTTGTTTGTTTTAATGAAAAATCAGTTATTTTCATGAGAACGATTTGTTATTCCATCTCAATTTTTTAATCTCCAATCGCAATAACGTAAAGTATTATTACCCGCGAACCAATGAGTCAAATTTAAGAAACAACCCACTGTTAGAAAGCTGAATGGCTACGCTTTAAAATGAATGTAAACGTTTTCGTCTATCTATTATTTGTTTAGCAATTTACATTTCAGTCGAGAATTGCGCTTTTTTTTATACACCCTGTATAGTTGGATATTTGCATTGCGTTTTACTACAAATAATATCGTGCACAAGGGGGGCAAGTTCTTCGTGAAATCGTTTTAGAAACCAAGCTGGGATCGTATCTGATCCGGTATTTTTTTTTGCTTTTAAATGTCTCAGTGTAGACTTGACTTGACCAATACAGGGGACGGGAGGAGGATTTTCCTTCAACAATGATGTTACTTCGGCAAGACTTGTGTGAGAAACATTTGATATTAAGGGAAAATGGCGTCATATGTCTTCACCGGAAGTGAACATGTTTGATTGACAGTTAAAGAGTTTTGTATAAAGCATTAAAGCATGCGTTTTATGTATAATGTAAATAATATAGGTTGAAGTTTAATACAAATCATAGCAAACGAGCACGAAGGCGCCCAACGTGGGGCAGGCTTTTTCAAAATAAAGGCTGCCATTCGAACCAACAATGTCGACGAAAGAAACGAAGGAAAAACTAGATAGGCTTCGTGCAAGGCGAGGAGGCCATCGCGGGGTATCTACAAGTGATAGTGATAGTGAACTTTATTTAGGCACGGAGGCCTGTCATCGAAAATAAGATGTAGGATCTAGCTAGGTCAAGCCCGAATTTAGGGATTAACCCGCGATCGGGCAGAGACGAACACATGTTTTGCTTTTATATTCGAGAGACGAACTCGCGTTGATTTGTGTGATTTATAAAAGTTGTTTGAACGTTGTAGTGTTGTAGTATAGCCAGAGGACTATCAGTCGGGTATTTGTCTTGTATTATTTTATTGTTTGTAATCGTATTTGTATAGTTAAATATCTATGTTTTGTAAATTTATCGTTTAGAAACCACACACGGTGACACAGTGAGATTATATATATTTTTTTTTTTATATAAACTTTATTGATAATATGTTTGCCTCAAAAGCCGAGGCTTATCAAGGAGGCTCACATTTAATTAATTTACGTAAATGTTTTTATATAAAAAAAGAATGTTTACAAAAATACAAACACAAAAGATACAACCAATAACAAAGAGGAAGACAGACACATTTGAGTCATAATGGCTAGGAGAAACGAAAAGTATCCAGAATATACCGTTGAACTATACCAAATAACATGCAATTTTCTTCATAACTCAACTGGATAGATCCTTTCAACATACACTTAACTTTCTCATTGTCACT